ATAAACATCCGATTAACCAATAAGAGGAGTAGTTACATCGAATTAATTAATAAGAGGAGTAAACATCCGATTAACCAATAAGAGGAGTAGTTACATCGAATTAATTAATAAGAGGAGTAATTACATCGAATTAACCAATAAGAGGAGTAGTTACATCGAATTAACCAGTTAGAGGAGTAGTTACATCGGATTAACCAATAAGAGGAGTAGTTACATCGTATTAACCAATATGAGGAGTAATTACATCGAATTAACCAATAACAGGAGTAATTACACCGGATTAACCAATATGAGGAGTATTTACATCGGATTAACCAATAAGAGGAGTAGTTACATCGGATTAACCAATAAGAGGTGTATTTACATCGGATTAACCAATAAGAGGAGTAGTTACATCGGATTAACCAATAAGAGGAGTAGTTACATCGGATTAACCAATAAGAGGAGTAATTACACCGGATTAACCAATATGAGGAGTAATTATATCGAATTAACCAATAAGAGGAGTAATTACACCGGATTAACCAATATGAGGAGTATTTACATCAGATTAGCCAATAAGAGGAGTAGTTACATCGGATTAACCAATAAGAGGTGTATTTACATCGAATTAACCAATAAGAGGAGTAATTACATCGAATTAACCAATAAGAGGAGTAATAACACCGGATTAACCAATAAGAGGTGTATTTACATCGGATTAACCAATAAGAGGAGTAGTTACATCGTATTAACCAATATGAGGAGTAATTATATCGAATTAACCAATAAGAGGAGTAATTACACCGGATTAACCAATATGAGGAGTATTTACATCAGATTAACCAATAAGAGGAGTAGTTACATCGGATTAACCAATAAGAGGTGTATTTACATCGAATTAACCAATAAGAGGAGTAATTACATCGAATTAACCAATAAGAGGAGTAATAACACCGGATTAACCAATAAGAGGTGTAATTACATCGAATTAACCAATAAGAGGAGTAGTTACATCGGATTAACCAATAAGAGGAGTATTTACATTACGTCCCACAATGATGATCACATCACCAATGTTCGAACCATGATCTTGTAAAGCAAGGCTACCATTTGGCCCCGTTTTCTTGTAACGTCGGGACAATCGTAAGTCCACCATCACGGTACTAATCATGGATTAGAAGAATCCTGCACATATCGGGCCAAGTTAGGCAACAGATATCAATGCGAGACTCAATCAGTCATTATAGCATGATTACAACGAGACAATGGTGGGAGGGTAACATTAATGACTGTGCAAGTCAGGGAACTAATAATAATTATTCAGGGCAGGATATATTAATATCAAATATGCATGTTCAGTGACTGTGAAAGTTAAAAGAGAGACTTGAGATTTCAATTCATCTACCTAACTTACTTGTATTAAAAAAAAAGCCCATCAAGATTTGATAACCAGCAAAATACTTTACTTTCGAGCAAATTTTAGTCTTGAGGTTTTAGGCTTAAGGAATAATTCTTAAAGATCACGTGATCGGGACAAACCTTTCAACTTTTTTTCAGTTAGGCTTAGTGTCTATATGTCTTAGAAGTTAAATTACAGTGTTGATCTATACTTAAGGGATATTTAGAGCTCTGACTTCTTAGCATTGACGCAAGAGGGCGCCACCCATATCTCACTTTCTCTCTCTTTCTGTTTTTATTTTCTTGTTAACAATAAAATATTGGTCTAGGTGGCGTGATGTGCTAAGGGAAAAAGATAAACCAGATAAAAAATCCATTTGACGATATAGAAATATTTAAAGATAAATAACAGATATTGAGATAAAGAACCATAAAACAGTGAAGAAATACTCAAGTCAGATTACTGACTAAAAATATGATATTTTTGAGTTAGTTTTCAATGTCAATTCTAATTATGTTACAAAGAATTTTCGTTGCAAACGATTACCACCAATGAATTAAAAGGGTATTATCGTTTTCTGGTTCTCTTTCATCTGGTTTAATTATATCTTCACTGTGAAATGGTTCTTTATCTTGTTTGGATAGTTCTTCACCGTTTTCTTGTTCTTGATCTGGTTTAAATATTTATTCTCCGTTTGTGGTTCTCGTTCTCCTGGTTTAAATATATGTTTCTGTATTGACCCTCATTCAAATCGTTAGGTGTCGTCCTGGGATTGTAATACACAGACTGTGAATCAGACAGTTCATTGTTATCCACCAATTACCGAAAAACACTATTAGAACAGCACAACGTCTTTGTACGTACTGTACTAAACATTAGTGAAAACAGTCACTGGCATTGGTTGATAATAAAATGTAATAAACATTAGTGAAAACAGTCACTGGCATTGGTTGATAATAAAATGTAATAAACATTAGTGAAAACAGTCACTAGCATATGTTGATAATAAACTGTACTAAACATTAGTGAAAACAGTCAGTAGCATAAATAAATATTTATGAAAACAGTCACTAGCATAGGTTGATAATAAACTGTAATAAACATTTGTGAAAACAGTTACTAGCAGAGGTTGATAATAAATTGTAATAACCATTGGAGAAAACAGTCACTAGCATAGGTCGATAATAAACTGTAATAAACATTAGTGAAAACAGTCACTTGCATAGGTTGATAATAAACTGTAATAAATATTGGAGAAAACAGTCACAAGCATAGATTGATAACAAACTGTAATAAACATTGGAGAAAACAGTTACTAGCATAGGTTGATAATAAACTGTAATAAACATTAGTGAAACCAGTCACTAGCATAGGTTTGTTTTCTCCAATGTTTATTACAGTTTATTATTAACCTATGCTAGTGACGGATAATAAACTGTAATAAACATTGGAGAAAACAGTCACTAGCATAGGTTGATAATAAACTGTAATAAACATCGGAGAAAACAGTCACTAGCATAGGTTGATAATAAACTGTAATAAACATTGGAGAAAACAGTCACTTGCATAGGTTAATAATAAACTGTAATAAACATTGGAGAAAACAGTCACTTGCATAGGTTGATAATAAACTGTAATAAACATTGGAGAAAACAGTTACTTGCATAGGTTAATAATAAACTGTAATAAACATTGGAGAAAACAGTCACTTGCGTAGGTTGATAATAAACTGTAATAAACATTGGAGAAAACAGTTACTTGCATAGGTTAATAATAAACTGCAATAAACATCAGTGAAAACAGTCACTAGCATAGATTTATAATAAAATGTAATAAACATTGGAGAAAACAGTCACTAGCATAGGTTAATAATAAACTGTAATAAACATTGGAGAAAACAGTCACTAGCATAGGTTGATA